CTGGGCCATCTGGGGTCATTTGGGTGGATTTGACCTATCTCTGGCCCCCCTTGCTCGATCTGGTTGGTTGACATACCCTTGTGACCGTTAGAGCCAATAGAATCGAAGGAGGAGACTCACATAGACACACATTGTAAAGAAAAAATGTTGCCGCTTCGCGTGTGGAAAGCGAAACTAAACTGGAGGAATGTCTCCTTCTGGAGTTTGGAAACTAAAACGCAGTTGTATTGCTTATGGATTATCAGAAATAATTTCAAAGAAGGCACAGACACATAGGATGAACCTATGGATTAACTGCAGCATCGTTTTTTTATCGTTTTAATGCCATTGAAGACCACTTTTGACCAAGGTAAGCCATATTTACATGTTTAGCTTCTTGGCTCCACATGTGATGATGTACGCTTTCGTTGATAGCGTCGCGAATGTTTATCACTGAGTGTTGAGGTGGGCACCGTTAGATTCAGTGTCTCCAGGACACCAAAAAAGAGTGTTTGGTTGTGCATCTAGGATAAGTAATAAGGGAGTTCTGAGTGAGTTTATGTGCCTTTGTAGGTTACGTTTTTTCGTCGAGGCTAATTCAGAGGCTGAGTGCTAGCATTGTGGGTTTTTTTTGAAAAAAAAAATTAAAAAGATCAGTTAGCTGAGTTTCTTCCCGTTACATGGATATAACACATTCATAGTTTTATTCAATATTAAGATTCCTTAGACGTTGTTTCCTGCAAATGACGCGTTTATCCGCCCGGTACCGGGGGGGCAGGCGTGAAACAGGTTAAGACCTTCTAAATCATATTTAAGACCTTTCTTATTTTTTTGGTCATATTTAAGACCTTTTTAAGGCCTTAAATTCAGATTATCAAATTTAAGACTTTTTAAGACTTTTTAAGACCCCGCGGGAACCCTGAACAATCTGTGGGGTGATTTTATGGAATGGTTTGGAGCAGGAGTTAAAACAAAGCACAAGCATAATTCAGTTTAAAAGGATGTACAGAAACACTTTTTTGGAAAACTATGAGAATGAAGAGAGGTGATTGAAGATGAGAAATTATTTTATATGTATAAATGTAAATGTACGTAGGAATAACTTGCATAATGATTTAAAGGACAATCATTGATCAAGTAAGAGGTGGGAATTAATAAGCATTTGCGTCCTCCTACTCCCTTTCGGACACATATGATTTATTATTATTATTAATATGAAGACTTTTTGTTTTTTGTTGAATATATAAATATGATCATGAATGTGGATAAATACTGTATTTTAACAATACGGTATTCTGTTTTACACATTTGTTATTTTTTTATTTGTTATTTTTTTAATCTGTTCGAAATAAAGATTGAAATTAAATTAAATTAATTTCTATGTCACTACTCTCTCTCTCCTCTCAATAAATGATCGGGGGCGTCACTCCCCAGCTTAACCAATCACTTCGCTCTATTCTCACAAGCCTATCATAGCGCTCCGCTAAACCTTTTAAATCTGCTCTCCCCCTTGACAGCTGTCATTTCAGGTGACTCGACGCAACCCTCCTCCACCCCTTTTCACCTCTCTCTGAATCCAGGGTCAAGCTAAGCCCCTCCCCTTCATACCGAACCCAACCATCCATTCACCACCACCAGGGTCAAGCTAAGCCCCTCCCCTTCAGACCGAACCCAACCATCCATTCACCACCACCAGTGTCTCAAGACCCCGGGGGGTTTCATCGGATCGGTTCTCCCCTCCCGAATGATACTCCCGCACAACGGGGCCTAATCGCCAAAACTCCATTACATTCATTTGTGTATTCCTGGCAATAAATATGTATTCTCACATCAACACCGTCTCTGCTGATTGAACTTGTGTACTTTGAAGCGGCACGGCATCGTTTACAATTTGCTTGCTATTTGTGAAGTTGTCCGTCTTTCTTGAAAAATTAGAAGTGTTGCAAAACGTTTGATTTGTAGGTATTTTTCGCTGCGCTGTGTATCTCTTTCTCCTCGACTTCCATGTGTGTTGATAACTGTGACTTTCGTCCTCCGTAGTGCGAAGCAAAGATCAAAGATCGTCTCTGCTGAGTGCTGACAGGATGAGGGGATATTATATGAATGAATCGTTTTTTTTTACCGATGCAAAGACGCTACAATCGATGCATCGCGAGTTCAACCCAAACTGTAGCCGATGTGCACTCTTTAAACCGGTGCACTCGCATCTTGAACGTTTATGCCGGTGCACCGATGCGAATCGGTGAATCTTAACATCCCTATTATATACACAACCAAGTATAGACAATGAGGAACAGATTAGAGGGTTCCTTGTGTCCCTCCAATTGCCGATGCTAAATGATGACCAAAACAGAAGGCTTATCAGCCCAATCAAACAGGAAGAGTTAAATGCAGCTATAGGTAGACTAAAGCTTGGAAAGTCCCCTGGCACAGACGGGTTCACCTCGGAGTGGTATAAGTCATTTAGAGAAACATAAGACCCAATTCTACTGAGAACATTTAACTTTGTGTTGCAAAAGGGGGTGATCCAACTTCATGGAGGAAGGCCACAATTTCAATAATACCAAAAGAAGGTAAAGATAAATTAGACTGTTCCAACTTTAGGCCAATTAGTGTTCTGAATCAAGATTATAAATGATTCACATCAATTATAGCCAAAAGAATAGAGAACATTCTACCAGTGATTATCAACACGGATCAAACAAAGACAGACACAGGATAGCGTCAGGAGAACACTGCACATTATAAGACACATACAATTGAAAAATATTAAATCATTATTGGTAGGGATAGATGCAGAGAAGGCGTTCGACTCTGTCAGATGGACATTTTTATATAAGGTGTTGCAAAGATTTGGATTTCCCAAAACTATAATTAGGACCATTCAGATGTTATATGACAAACCATCAGCAAGGGTAAAGATTAATGGGGACCTATCAAATTATTTCATACTACAAAGGGGCTGTCGTCAAGGTTGCCTGGTGAGCCCATTACTCTTCGCGATTTTCATAGAAACAATAAGCCAGTGGATAAGACAGAATAATGACATTAAAGGAGGGGACATGGCTGGAGGCGAACAGAAAATATCCTTATTTGCGGACGACGTCCTGATATAGCTGACCCAACCAGAGCAATCATTCCCTGAGCTGATGAAGAGTCTGGAGTCATATGGCTCATTATCAGGTTATAAATTAAATGTTAAGAAAACACAGGCCCTCACGTTCAATTATAACCCCTCTCAGGAAATAAGGGAAAAATACCACATTAAATGGGAAACATAATTCATGAAGTACCTACTGTAGGAGTAGATATTCCAAGAGATCTGGAAAAGCTATCTGAAACTAACTACGAGCCTTTGATTTCAAGAATTAAAGCAGACATAGCAAGGTGGAACCTGCTGCCTCTTCTGGACATTCAGAAGAATGTCCTACCAAGGTTTCTGTATCTCTTCCAGACACTTCCTGTAGAGATCACTGAGAAACAATGGGACAGAATGATCTCTAGATTTGTGTGGCAGGGGAAAAGGCCCAGAATCAGACTCAAAGCACTAAAATGATTAGATTTTCAAAGCATTCTTATTATTAGAATGCTTTGAAAAGCTCAAATTAAAATATTGACTGGAAAATCCAGGTATCTCCAAATACGGCATTATTTGAACCAGAAAATCACAAAAGAACATACAAATCATAGAACAAGGCATGTTGAGGGTATTTGTAGATGCTTACGACTCGGAACAGTGTAGAGGGTTAATAGCAAGAATGTATAGTGGTTTACAGAACTCGATATTGATAGATAGTATCTATCAATATCGAGTTATATTAGATAAATCACACATCACGTAAAAGTCGGAGCGAGAAGCAAACTTTACTATTACGACAGAAGAATGGGGACAAATAAGTAAACAACAATGGAAAACAACCAATTCCCAGACCTGGATGGAGTGTGAATGGAAGAATACGGTCAGGTTCTTCATCACGCCTGCTCAAAAAAAGTATAGGGAAACTGGGGCGGACTGCTGGAGGAAATGCGGTAATGTTGATGCCAACCACTTTCACCTGTTCTGGGAATGTCCATCCATAATCTCTCTTTGGACTCAGGTCCACAAGTATATGGTAAAAACACTTCATGCTAAAGTACTATTGAAATTTGAAGTGATGTACCTGGGCTAAGTAGACTTCAATATAATGGATAATGACAATAAGTACATTTTTTACATTTTAAGGGTAGCAAGCAAAATATCTATAAAGAGGAAGTGGATGAGCCAAGAGGTTCCAACGGAGGGAGAGTGGATGGACAGGATTCATGATATATATGTAATGGAAAGGTTGACATATGCACTGAGACAACAGAGTGAACAATTTGAGAAGAGGTGGAAGGGATGGTCGGGATTTGGTGAGGCCCACAAGGCCAGATTTAGTTTAGCTTAAAATAGGAGGATTGCTGGACCGCCATATACCTCACCTGGTAGAGCTGGCGGACTCAGTTCCCATGCGGAGGACCCAAGTTCAAAAACTGTCATCTCCAATAAAAACTAATCTGGCCCAAAACATTTTTTTTTTTTAAATAAAAAAATCGAGGGGATGCTTAATGACTGTCAAAGAGCTATTGCCTGTGAGCAAGAGATACATAGCCCTGATGTGATGTATTTTGTGTTCTTCTTTTTTTTGTCTCTGCATAAGTCTGTTTGTTTTTCTGTGAGTGTTGTTCCTATCCATCATTTATATTATGAAAACAAGATGGGGAATATAAGATGAATCTCAGGTTCAGAGTGAATTATGCAGTGTAGGATTTTTCCTGTTATTTTAATTGAAATATTAACAGTGCATTGCAGGGCTGAGGCTTTACAAGCATTCTTACTGAAGCAGACCAGGACACCAACAATGTGAACAAAGGGCTGAGACTGTAGAGGGTTAAGATGCTCAGTGAGGATCAGAGTGATATCAGCCTGATGTCTGCAGCTCAGAGTCAACACAACTCTCACATATTCATCTCAGCACAGATGTTACAGATGGAGAACTGACCTGAGGGTCTCCAGTCTGCAGTCTGGACTCTCCAGAAGATCTCTCAGCAGCTCCACTCCTGAATCCTGCAGAGCGTTGTGACTCAGGTGCAGATCTCTCAGATGGCAGGGGTTGGACTTCAGAGCTGAGATCAGAGCAGAACAGCTGATCTCTGACAAACTGCAGCTCCTCAGTCTGAATAAAGAAAACATGATGTAATTTTAGAAAACAATGTTCCTGTTTGAAATAATTCAAGGTTTAATAATCTGAGTTAAACAATGTTTTAATGTCAGCAATGAGATAGATAATCTGGAACTTTAACTTTTCTCAGATGTTTAACAACTCCTTCATCTCCCTCACAGGTCATCAGTATCTTCACTGACTCATGGAGCACAGAGTGAGTCTGTGGAAGCTCAAACACTCTCCCTCACACATTCGCCTTCTCTGATCTTCGTATTCTTAAACTTTGGATTCCATTTCCATTTGGAAATACAGAAAAAAATAAAAGCATTAAAATATCTTCAGGTAAATTCTGAAAATCATAAACACTAACAGATCTATATGAACTGCAGTCAGTGAACTGACCTGAGAGTCTCCAGTCTGCAGTTTGGACTCTTTAGTCCATAACACAGCAGCTCCACTCCTGATTCCTGCAGATCGTTGTTACTCAGGTCCAGATCCCTCAGATGGGAGGGGTCAGATTTCAGAGCTGAGGCCACGATTTCACAGTCAGTCTCTGAGAGTCCACAGTCAGAAAGCCTATAATGACACATATATTACAACAGGTGTTAGTATAAAAACAGAGAAAACATTATATTAACTTACTGAATTTGATGGAACAACTTTTGACATATCATGTACATTTAATTTAAAGTGGACCTATCATGCTATATTTGAATAATATAGTGTAGGACCAAATCTATATAAGGCATATTTATACTTTTTTTTTTTCAAAATACCAAACAGATCATGCATTTTAGCCATGCCTCATTTTGCTCAATTTGACATTTTTTAGCCCTGTTTTTGCAAGGGCAGATTCAGTGAGAACAGCACCATCTACAGGCCTGGCATATGTACTACAGCGTCTCCAGCGCTTTCGAACGGCAATGGCCGTGGCTGTCTCCTCCTGATTGGTGGAGTTGGCCCAATAGCCGTAGCGCCACCGTCCTGACGTCAGGACAGTGTTCAAATCTGGATCAGTTTTTATCAGATCCGTTGCAGCCCCTTTTTTAGAGATTTGGGTATGGAGGAAAATAGAGAGGGTTGTGTTTTCTGACACTTGGTGAGTTCCCTGGAACACCGGGGACACATATTCATGTAGAAAAGACGTACAAAAGTGCATTTTGCACGATAGGTCCCCTTTAATGATATATTGTAGGGCCATACCTATATAAGGTATATTTATACGTTTCTGTTTTCAAAATACCAAACAGATCATGATTTTAAGCCATGCCTCATTTCACTCTATGTGCTGTTCTCCAGCACTGTTTTTGCAGGGGGCTGATTCTGTGAGCTGCAGCTGACCACGCCCCACTGCAGGAGAGGGGAGCGTGCTCTGAACAGCTGCTGGGCTGTCAGAAGAGGGGGAGAAAAATAGATCTCCATCCTCCGTGTTTTATTATATTATTATAGGCCTATAGAGTCGTTATTCATTTGTTTTAAAGCTCAATAAATAACAAAGAAGACCTTTGACCGGCACTTTTCTAATTTTGTCCGGAAGATTTAAACTTTAACCTGTTAAGCACCAAGCCTGTTTTTCATGTTTCAGGCTCGAAAATGACATGCCCAAAACAAATGACTACAAGTTAACTTCTAAAAGGATTATATGAATAATTTCTTTTATCAAAGCAAGATTACATCTGTGAGTTGGATGTAGAAGTGTCAGAATCAATATAGATGTTTTTTATTTTAAAGAAAATTCAGATTTTACATAGTAAAAAACTGTAAATTATAGTGTCCGTCCAAAAATTATTTTTTACTTATAGTGAAAACTACCCTTGGATGATGGGTTAGTAGACTAAAAGCTTTAGGAATCCAAAGTACAACATATAAGTACCCTGTATCAAGATTGATGCAAAACAAGTGACATTTGACCTTTTTAGAGAGGTTTAGCCAAAACCACTCCACCTCTGAGGTGATTTGGGTGAAAATGTTTTCTTTTCCATATCTCTGGCCCCCCTTGGTCGATTTGGATGGTTGACACCTCTTTCTGACCGTTAGAGCCAATAGAATCGAAGGGGGAGGCCCCTACACACACACGTTGTGAAGAGAAAAGGTGGGGGCTGCGCGCATGTAAATGTACAGCAGAGTGGACCTATCTCTAGCTCTGGCATTTGGAAACGAAAAAGCAGTTTTATTGCTTATGGATTATCAGAAATCATTTCAAAGAGGACACAGACACATTGGATTAACCTAAGGATTAGCTGCAGCATCGTTTTTTTATCGTTTTAATGCCATTGAAGACCAGTTTTGACCAAGGTAAGCCATGTTAGCGTTTCTAGCTACCTAGCTCCACATGTTATGATGTACGCTTTCGTTTATAGCGTCGCAAATGTTTATCACTGAGTGTTGAGGTGGGCACCAAACGATTCTGTGTCTCCAGGAGACCCAAAACGAGTGGTTGGCTGTGCATCTAGGATAAGTAATAAGGGAGTTATTGTGAGTTTAAGTGCCGTTTTAGGTTACATTTTTTCGCTCGTGGCTAATTCAGAGGCTGAGTGTTAGCATTGTGGGTTTTTTTTTAATTTTTTTTTTAAAAAGATCAGTTAGCTGAGTTTCTTCACGTTACATGGATATAAAACATTCATAGTTTATTAAATATTAAGATTCCTTAGACGTTGTTTCCTGCAAATGACGCGTTTATCCGCCCGGTACCGGGGGGGCCGTGCGTAACAGGTTAACGGACATCTTGACCGGCGAAAGAAAACCTAACTGAAACTCTGCCGCACGGTCCCCTCGTTCCTTGGAAGAGGCGGAGAGGTGGGTGTTTGTCATCTGCTGGTGGACTAACCGGAGAGAATTACAGTGCTTGCCTCGACGGGGAGGGATTGCATTGAATTAAAGCAGCGGGAGCAAACGCTTGCCTCGGGGAGGGAGAAAGAAAGCCACAGCGGAGAATAAACAGAAGGGTAACCATGGTAACTATGCGCGGGAAGTCTTCTTCGCTGCTTTTGTGGCAGACTACAACGCCACTTACAGGCCTGGCATATGTACTACAGCGTCTCCAGCGCTTTCGAGCGGCAATGGCCGGCCGTGGCCCAACCCCACATTCCCCTGATAGGTGGAGAGTTGGCCCAATAGCCGTAGCGCCACCGTCCTGACGTCAGGACAGTGTTCAAATCTGGATCAGTTTTTATCAGATCCGTTGCAGCCCCTTTTTTAGAGATTTGAGTATGGAGGAAAATAGAGAGGGTTGTGTTTTCTGACACTTGGTGAGTTCCCTGGAACACCGGGGACACATATTCATGTATAAAAGACGTACAAAAGCTCAGCATTCAACACCATCATCCCCCAGCAGCTTGTACAAAAACGTACAGACCTGGGCCCCAGCCCCTCTCTCTGCAACTGGTTGCTGGACTTCCTCACAGAGAGACCACAAGCTGTACGGGTCAACAATAACACCTCAGACACCCTCATACTGAGCACAGGGGCCCCCCAAGGATGTGTGCTCAGCCCACTTCTCTTCACTCTGCTGACCCACGACTGCAAACCCACCTTCAGCACCAACCACATCGTGAAGTTTGCAGACGACACTACTGTGGTGGGTCTCATCAGCAACAACGATGAGACTAACTACAGGAAGGAAGTGAACCAGCTGGCCCTGTGGTGCCAAAACAACAACCTCTTCCTCAACCTGGAGAAAACAAAGGAGATAGTTGTTGACTTCAGGAGAACCCACCGTCGACCCCCACTCCCCCTGACCATCAACGGCGCTGGTGTGACGCAGGTGACCAGCACCAAATTCCTTGGTGTGACCATCACTGATGACCTCACCTGGAAAAACAACACCACCGCTCTAGCGAGGAAAGCCCAGCAGCGCCTGTACTTCATCCGGAAGCTCAAGCGAGCCGGAGCATCACCCCCCATCATGCTGTCCTTCTACCGAGGCGCCACCGAGAGCATCCTCAGCAGCTGCATCACGCTGTGGTTCGGAAGCTGCACCGCCGCCGACCGCAAGAGCCTGCAGCGCATAGTGAACTCTGCCCAGAGGATCATCGGTGCCTCACTCCCCTCACTACAGGACATATATAACACCCGCCTCACCCGCAAAGCACTCAGCATTGTGGGTGACTCCACCCACCCCTCCAACAGCCTCTTCAGCCTCCTGCCTTCAGGGAGAAGGTTCCTCAGCCTCAGCTCACGCACCTCCAGGCTGGGCAACAGCTTCCTCCACCAGGCGGTCAGGATGCTGAACTCTCTCCCCTCCCTCCATCTCTTCTGCCCTCTGACATCTCTCCCCTGAACTCTCCACCCTGCCTCCGACTTTTCTCCCCTGCCTCAAATGGTCCTGGACTCTAACCCCCTAACTCACTTTTCTGCCCATCTCCGCTGCTACTGCACTGAAACTGTACTTTGAACACTTAAATTATATTATTAACATTTTAAACTGTATACCCCGGTTATCTAGGCCCTTTTTGTTTTTTGTTTTATGTATATATGTCACACTGTAGGACTGCGGGAAACGATATTTCGATATTTCTGGATGTACAACATGTAGAATTATTGACAATAAAGCTGACTTTGACTTTTGACTTTGGCTTTGACTTGACTTTGAAGTGCATTTTGCATGATAGGTCCCCTTTAACAATAACGTTTTCTATATTCATTGTCAGCCTGTCAGATCTTATTTTAAACTCTTAAGCATTGTGGTAAAAACAGATCTGATTTAATGTTGAAGAAAATGCAATAATATATTCATATTGCATTCACTCATAATTGTAAATACATGCTGCTGTGATAAAACCTCTAAAGTCCTTAATTAGTTTGACATGTCGCCTCCATCACTCAAGGAATATGAAGAGGAGAAAAAAACGTTAAAATGTCACATTATTATAAATAAATAGAATAACTAGGATCATTTAATTTTCGCTCTGAAAGTATTCAACAACAAACATTTTATAGTGTTCATTGGAATAATTAAACTTCTGATCCAAATTAGTTTATAAAGTTAATCACATCTGGACTTACTTGGCCTTCCTGCAGTTCCTCACAGCTGGAATCAGTCTCCGTCGTCCCTCCCGTGATGTGTTGTACTTCTCCAGGTCCAACTCATCCAGAACCTCCTCTGACATCTGCAGCATGATGGCCAGAGCTGAGCAGCGGATCCCAGAGAATCTCTCCTCTGATCTGTTCTCTGACTTCAGGAACTCTGTGATCTCCTGATGTACTGAGTGGTCCTTCATCTCTGTCAGACAGTGGAAGATGTTGATGCTCCTGTCAGGAGAGATTTCATCACTTCTCATCTTCTTCAGGTTGGTGATGGCTCTCTGGATGATTTCTGGACTGTTGTCTGTGCGACCCAGCAGGCCTCCTAACAGTCTCTGGTTGGACTCCAGAGAGAGGCCGTGGAGAAAGCGGACAAACAGGTCCAGGTGGCCATTTTCACTTCTGAGGGATTTCTCCATGGCTCCCTTTAGGAAGACATCCAGGGATGGGTAATCATCATCACTGCTAAATATGTTGCTATAGTCTCTCTGCAGGAAGTCCTTCAGTACCTCTGTGTCTCTGTTGGTGTAACAGTGGAACAAGTAGACTGCAGCCAGAAACTCCTGAATGCTCAGATAAACAAAGCAGTAGACTGTTTTCTCAAAGATCACACTCTCTCTTTTGAAGATCTGTGTACAAACTCCTGAGTGCACCAAGGCCTCAGTGACATCAAGACCACAGCGCTCCAGGTCTTCTTGGTAGAACATGATGTCTCCTTTCTCCAGATGCTCAAACGCCAGCCTCCCCAGCTTCAGAAGAACCTCCCTGTCAGCCTCCGTCAGCTGCTGTGGACTCGTCTCATGTCCCTCTTCATACTTCTGCTTCTTCCTCTTGGTCTGGACCAGCAGGAAGTGTGAGTACATGGCAGTGAGGGTCTTGGGCAGCTCTCCTCTCTGGTCTGTAGTCAACATGTGGTCCAGAACTGCAGCAGTGATCCAGCAGAAGACTGGGATCAGACACATGATGTGGAGGCTCCTGGAGCTCTTGATGTGAGAGATGATTCTGCTGGACAGGTCTTCATCACTCGATCTCCTCCTGAAGTACTCCTCCTTCTGGGCATCAGTGAAGCCTCGTACTTCTGTTACCCTGTCCACACACTCAGGAGGGATCTGATTGGCCGCTGCAGGTCGGGAAGTTATCCAGACGAGAGCCGAGGGAAGCAGTTCCCCCCTGATGAGGTTTGTCAGCAGCACGTTGACTGAGGACTGCTGAGAGACATCAGACACAACCTCATTGTTTCTGAAGTCCAGAGAAAGTCTGCTTTCATCCAGGCCGTCAAAGATGAGCAGCACTTTGCAGACAGCCAGCTGCTCTGCTGTGACCTTCTGTAAGGTTGGATGGAAAACATGGAGCAGCCTGAGAAGACTGTACTGCTCACCTTTGATCAGGTTCAGCTCCCTGAAGGAGAGCAGGATCACCAGACTGACATCTTGGTTTCCCAAACCCTCGGCCCAGTCCAGAGTGAACTTCTGCACTGAGAAGGTTTTTCCAACTCCAGCGACTCCGTTGGTCAGGACCACTCTGATGTGAGTCTGTTGGTCAGGTGAGGCTTTAAAGATGTCCTGGCACTTGATTGGAGTTTCATGGAGGGTCTCTTTCTTGGAAACTGTCTCCAGCTGCCACACCTCATGTTGGGTATTAACCTCTTCACTCTGGCCTTGTGTGATGTAGAGCTCAGTGAAGATCCTGTTGAGGAGGGTTTCACTTTCATCAGTTCCTTCAGTCACATGTTCACATCTCCTCCTCAGACTGAGCCTATGTTCATCTAAAACCTCCTGCAGACCACTATCTGCTGGAAGAGAAGGAAACATGAGAGAATCAGGAAAATGCTTTTGGGAATCAGATGATGAAAATAAAACAAAAAAATAGGGTTTAAAATGTCATGATTTTTATAAAACATCTTAATGTCTATCCTTTACAACACGACACTAAACATAAAAATGAAAAATCCTGGACATGAAGACTCCAGAAAGAACCACCAAATACTAGCTGGCAGATATCTTTACTATCATACGTAAATATTATATTAGTGCACGGCTAATGTTTTCATTTTCTTACCTCGTACAGAGCTGGTCTGACTGGCTGTCTGCAGGCCAGCTCTGGTTCTGCATCTTTCTCCACACTGGGGACAGCAGGAGTCTCCTGATGGAGGTCTCTGCTCCCAGTATGAGGTGATGCACTGTCTGCAGAACCAGTGTCCACAGCTGGTAGAGACTGGATCCTTCAGGACGTCCTGACACAGAGCACAGCTGGACAGCTGCTCCTCCACAGGAACACCACTCTTCCTCTTCCCTCTGTGGAGATGAACACATCCTTTATAACACTTTACATTAGAGGAGCTGATTCTCACCAAAGGTACAACAAGGAGGCAAATTCTAGATTGATATTTTAAAGTCTGTATCTCTAGATTATATGTCATCATGATAAGGTAGATAGCGGTTAGTTATTCATATCATTATGAAACCACACAGTTTTGTGTCTGTGTTCATAACATCAGCTGAGTTAATCTGGTACACTTTAGCACTTTGAACCCAATTCACAGAGAATTTGCTGTGAATACATTTCAGTAAACATATGGAAAGGATTCCGAAATAACAACGTAATGATAGTGATTTGAAAAAGCCTGAGTTAATGCTTTGTCAGGTGTGTCTGCAACACAACAAGCAAAACACTTTGAAATGTTAGTTTTCTGAATGGAGATCTGTTTGATTAAAGCTAGGCTAGGCTAACGTTGTAGCTGCTGTGTCTATACTCAAAATAACTCCATCCAGTCATTAGAACAGCAGCTATTATATTGTTAGCACCACAGACAGTCTCTGGTTTATACACATGTGTGTTGCTGCATTGACTCTACATGTAATCTGTTACATCTGCTAATACTAGAACAACCAGCTCACCAGGTTATTACTATTATTAATAAACATCTTTAAAATACATCTAAAAAAGATGCTGAAAACAAATTATTTAGTAGAAAGATATAAATCTAGTTTTAAGAATATTCTTTGCAATTTAAACCTTTCTATGCCACTGATACAATGATAATATAATAGCATATTTAAATGTCCTTAAATAATGTATACGGTTTTCTATTCTGCCTGTTTATTGTAACTCTACCACGTCTGTTTGTACTCTACTGCGCTTATGTACTGTTATTATTAAAGAAATGTTTACATGATCAGATAATATAAAAGCTGAATCCTCTCCAGGTCAGGTTACAGTAGAAACTCTTACTTTGTGTCTGAGGGTCCAGGGTCATCACTGAAGTCTGGAGGTTCCTCTTCAGACTGGTCACTCTTCTTTAGCCAGCTGGAGACTAGAGACCCTGCTCTCTGTCTGTGGAAACAACACATGTTTTAAACACATCATTAGTTCTTGTAAAGAGCAGAGGTAACATTAACATGACAGAGGATCATGATTGGCTAATCCTTAAATCTTTTTGCCTCTTGCCTAGTTAGGTTTGCCTCTGAATTCATAACTTCAGCTGAATTAATCTAGTACACTTTAGCACTTTGAACCAAATGTACACAGAATTTGCTGTGAATTCATTTCAATAAACATATGGAAAGGATGCCGAAATAAAAACATCATTTGAGTTAATGCTTTGTCAGGTCTGTCTGCAACACAACAACCAAAACACTTTGAAATGTTTGTTTTCTGAATGGAGATTGGTTTGATTAAAGCTCGGCTAGGCTAACGTTGTAGCTGCTGTGTCTACACTCAAAATAACTCCATCCAGTCATCAGAACAGCAGCTATTATATTGTTAGCACCACAGACAGTCTCTGGTTTATACAGGTACATGAATAACCCTGATTTCATACGAGGTGCTGTAGAGCTCTGGGTGCTGATGTTCCCTCTTCTGATTTATCTCAGCATGTCAGAGACCACAGGAGCAGAATCTCAACACTGACAGGTTTTTGTAACAGAGCGTCACAAACTTTACACTCAAGCTGTAACTTTTCAAGTTGTGTGAATACACGGGGGATATGAATCTCACTTCGTCACTTCATTCATGTTGCCAGGCAGGAATGTGTGTATTTGTATTGACTCTACATGTAATCTGTTACATCTGCTAATACTAAACACAACCAGCTAATCAGGTTATTACTATTATTAATAAACATCTTTAAAATACATCTAAAAAATATGCTGAAAACAAATCATTTAGTAGAAAGATATAGCTATAGTTTTAAGAATATTGACATACAATGATAATATAATAGCATATTTAAATGTCCTTAAATAATGTATACGGTTTTCTATTCTGCCTGTTTATTGTAACTCTACCACGTCTGTTTGTACTCTACTGCGCTTATGTACTGTTATTATTAAAGAAAAGTTTACATGATCAGATAATATAAAAACTGAATCCTCTCCAGGTCAGGTTACAGTAGAAACAGAGTCTTACTTTGTGTCTGAGGGTCCAGGTTCATCACTGAAGAGTAGAGGATGACTCATAGACCCGTCACTCTTCAGAGACAGCCAGCTGGAGACTAGAGACCCTGCTCTCTGTCTGTGGAAACAACACATGTTTTAAACACATCATTAGTTCTTGTAAAGAGCAGAGGTAACATTAACATGACAGAGGATCATGATTGGCTAATCCTTAATTATTTTTTCCTCTTGCCTAGTTAGGTTTGCCTCTGAATTCATAACTTCAGCTGAATTAATCTAGTACACTTTAGCACTTTGAACCAAATGTACACAGAATTTGCTGTGAATTCATTTCAATAAATATATGGAAAGGATGCCGAAATAAAAACATAATTTGAGTTAATGCTTTGTCAGGTGTGTCTGCAACACAACAACCAAAACACTTTGAAATGTTTGTTTTCTGAATGCAGATCTGTTTGATTAAAGCTAGGCTAGGCTAACGTTGTAGCTGCTGTGTCTACACTCAAAATAACTCCATCCAGTCATAAGAACAACAGCTATTATATTGTTAGCACCACAGGCAGTCTCTGGTTTAGACATACATGAATAACCCTGATTAAATGTATTCATATGTGCTGTTGAGCTCTGGGTGCTGATGTTCCCTCTTCTGATTTATCTCAGTATGTCAGGGACGACACAAAGCAGGCACACAATGGTGTCTGCGCATTGACCCTACATTTTATCGCACCGCACAAAATAAATCTGCTAATGATAAATACAACCAGCTCACCCGGTTATTACTATCCTTATACTATAGTCTACATTGTTTCTGTACTCTACTGCCCTCATGTAATTATAAAAGAACCGTTTAGATTATCAGATAATATAAAAACTGAATCCTCTTCAGGTCAGGTTACAGTAGAAACAGACTCTTACTTTGTGTCTAAGAGTCCAGGTTCATCAATGAAGTCTGCATCTCGCCCTTTAGACCGGTAACTCCTCAGAGACGGACAGCTTGAGACTGTGGATCCGTCCTCTTTCCCATCTATAATATCAATCATCTTCTCCAGTCTGAGAGATAAACCAGCAACATTGCAGACACACACACATACACATTATAATAACTAGGGGTGGGGGAAATAATCGATATAGCATAGTATATTGTATCGATACACGGACGCCATGTAAGGGATAACACCTTCATGCCGATCTAGATCCCTCTGCTTCGCGTCGGGCTCCTGATCTGCCTGAAGGTGTTCTTTTCCCCATAATGACCAAGTCGCTGCAAATTATCCCGCTTATTACATGGCCACATTCTCAACAAAGTAACGATATGACTCCCAATATTAATTGAAATGCTTTTATGGATTTAGAAAATGATTTTATTGATTTAAAAAATAGTTGTATGTATTGATTTAAATTGACATGCATCCGCTAAGGAAAATAGTCCGTTGTTACCGTTTGAAAAACATAGCAACGGCAGGAAGTGCTTCGATAGCGTTTTTGAGGAGCTTTTTGATTACAGATTTGAAAACATCGCTGCTTGCTTTAAAAGTAGCACAATTCATGATGTCAGACCTTGGAAAGTATCTAGATATCCCTGCCCTCATGCCAAAGGAACTGCACACTGAATATGTGTCGCCATTTGATGTCTATGTCTGGACCGCTGCGTAAAAAGGAGGGTTTCTGCCCCGTTACTTCTCCGCTGTTTGCTTGTCGCTCTTGTCTTGTCAGTTAGAAAAGCAAACTGTATGCAGTTTGCTTTTCAGCCAAACTGTATACAGTTCAATCGACCGGACTTCTTTCTGCAGATGTGAGCGTCCTTAACAACGGTCAATAAATCCTTGACAGCGGTCTGTCTGTTCTGGATTAACAACGTGTCACGTGTTCTGAATTGACCAATCAGAATCGAGTATTCAACTAAGCCATGTAATAAGTATCGATATTTTATTATATAAAAGTTTTTAGTAACAATTACTTTTTCAATTCATTAGATGATGCTGAGCTTTTTCTTGTGCGTTCATTCATGGCCATGGGTAACTTCCGGCTGGATTGGCAGGAAGTTGTTAGTCAAAACAAAGATGGAGTCAGCCCGGAAAGATATTAGAAATGCGCCAGGCGCGTTCAAATCCAAGGTGTGGAATTACTTTGGATTTTGTAACCAGGAAGGGAAGACCGACATGGATATGACGCATGCCATTTGTAAGGAGTGGCTTCACAACGAGCGCTAAATCTGCCAACTGTAGCAAGGCTCATGGGGAGAGTGTGGCGCATTACTGGCTATTTCAACAGAAGCACGACGGCAAACCACGCTCTGGAGAAAAAACTGAAAATGTTACATTGTACGGTCCTTAAAGTCGATGCAAGTGGCGACAACTGTGATGTCTGAGGAAAAGACTCTTACTCTGTCACTCGTTGCACCACTGCTCGCGCAGCTGTTGCAGGACACACAGGACAAAGTAGGCGACCCAGCGCTGGTCAGAGACATCAAACGAAGCATCAGTCAAGATCTTAAGAAGAGATATGCCAGTCCAGTAGAGAAGAACACCCTCTACACATCATCAGCCCTTGACCCAAGGTTTAAAACCCTGCCGTTCCAGGAGAGACAGGAAACCTATGCCAGAGTGGTTACTGAGGCTATAACCCTTCAGGTAAACACACATTTAAATAATAATGGTAGAATGTATTATAAGTAAGCCACTTAAGAAATGGCACTGCTCTACTAATATTTTTGTCTGGGGTAAAGATTTATTTAAAACGTAAAGACAAATTAACTATATTATTTAGACACTGATCTGAACTATGGCAGTGACAAATGGCCGGTGTTTTTGGGTACTGTTTTGGCTAAAAAAACGTATTTTGAGGTTATGGAAGTCTGATGCTGTGCCTTGAGATGTGGCTCCTCTACCTGGAGAAACTTAGATTCAAGAATGCAGGAAGGGGGAGAGTGTTTGATAAGGCCTGGGCTCCAGTGATGAGACACTTAAGAGGTCTGGGTGAGGATGAAGGTGAGGGATGAAGGTGTGGGATGAATGATCAATAATGTTAATCCTGTAAATGTTATCTTGTTGTTGTTTTTTTCAATTTGCTATGTACATTTTTTCTTTTTCCTGATGAGCCCTCTTGTTTCTAGCATGAATATTGCATTTCTTGTTATCTCGCCCATGGATGTGTTTTAAAACCGCCAACAGCCTAATTGTACTAGTATGTTCTGAATCTGCTGTTTTGTTGTTACTGAAAATGGAAAATATGATTGCTTTGTTATATCAATGCGGTTGGTACAACACATTTCAGCAATACAAATATTCTTAAAAAATAATGTGGTTGAATGTAAAGTTAATTTACTGTACTTAAGTACAATGTTGAGGTACTTGTAGCATACTTTACTTATTAGTATTTAGGTAATCTAGTAGAGTAGTATTACTTTAAGTATATTTTCTTTGATGTTAATTATTTTGTAATTTACTCCCCCCGGTACCGGGCGGATAAACGCGTCATTTGCAGGAAACAACGTCTAAGGAATCTTAATATTGAATAAAACTATGAATGTGTTATATCCATGTAACGGGAAGAAACTCAGCTAACTGATCTTTTTAATTTTTTTTTTCAAAAAAAACCCACAATGCTAGCACTCAGCCTCTGAATTAGCCTCGATCGAAAAAACGGGACCGACAAAGACACATAAACTCACTCAGAACTCCCTTATTACTTATCCTAGATGCACAACCAAACACTCTTTTTTGGTGTCCTGGAGACACTGAATCTAACGGTGCCCACCTCAACACTCAGTGATAAACATTCGCGACGCTATCAACGAAAGCGTACATCATCACATGTGGAGCCAAGAAGCTAAACTTCAATGGCATTAAAACGATAAAAAAACGATGCTGCAGTTAATCCATAGGTTCATCCTATGTGTCTGTGCCTTCTTTGAAATTATTTCTGATAATCCATAAGCAATACAACTGCGTTTTATTTTCCAAACTCCAGAAGGAGACATTCCTCCAGTTTAGTTTCGCTTTCCACACGCGAAGCGGCAACATTTTTTCTTTACAACCTGTCTGGGTGGGAGCCTCCTCCTTCGATTCTATTGGCTCTAACGGTCACAAGGGTATGTCAACCAACCAGATCGAGCAAGGGGGGCCAGAGACAGGTCAAATCCACCCAAATGACCCCAGATGGCCCAGTTTTTGGCTAAATCTCTCTAAAAAGGTCAAATTTCACTTGTTTTGCATCAATCTTGATACAGGGTACTTATTATATGTTGTACTTTGGATTCCTAAAGCTTTTAGTCTACTAACCCATCATCCAAGGGTAGTTTTCACTATCTGTAAAAAATAATTTTTGGACGGACACTATAATTTACAGTTTTTTACTATGTAAAATCTGAATTTTCTTTAAAATAAAAAACATTTATATTGATTCTGACACTTCTACATCCAACTCACAGGTTTATCATTACTTTGAGAAAAGATTATTAATTTAACCCTTTTAGAAGGGAAGATATGGTCATTTGTTCTGGGAATGTCATTTTCGAGCCTGAGACCTGAAAAACAGGCTCAGAGTGGAACAGGTTAAAGGGGACCTATCATGCAAAATGCACTTTTGTACGTCTTTTCTACATGAATATGTGTCCCCGGTGTTCCAGGGAACTCACCAAGTGTCAGAAAACACAACCCTCTCTATTTTCCTCCATACCCAAATCTCTAAAAAAGGGGCTGCAACGGATCTGATAAAAACTGATCCAGATTTGAACACTGTCCTGACGTCAGGACGGTGGCGCTACGGCTATTGGGCCAACTCTCCACCTATCAGGGGAATGTGGGGTTGGGCCACGGCCGGCCATTGCCGCTCGAAAGCGCTGGAGACGCTGTAGTACATATGCCAGGCCTGTAAGTGGCGCTGTAGTCTGCCACAAAAGCAGCGAAGAAGACTTCCCGCCCATAGTTACCATGGTTACCCTTCTGTTTATTCTCCGCTGTGGCTTTCTTTCTCCCTCCCCGAGGCAAGCGTTTGCTCCCGCTGCTTTAATTCAATGCAATCCCTCCCCGTCGAGGCAAGCACTGTAATTCTCTCCGGTTAGTCCACCAGCAGATGACAAACACCCACCTCTCCGCCTCTTCCAAGGAACGAGGGGACCGTGCGGCAGAGTTTCAGTTTCAGTTTCTTTCACCGGTCAAGATGTCCGTTAAAGTTTAAATCTTCCGGACAAAATTATAAAAGTGCCGGTCAAAGGTCTTCTTTGTTATTTATTGAGCTTTAAAACAAATGAATAACGACTCTATATAATAAAACACGGAGGACGGAGATCTCTTTTTCTCCCCCTCTTCTGACAGCCCAGCAGCTGATCAGAGCACGTCTCCCCTCTCCTGCAGGGGGGCGTGGTCAGCAGAATCAGACCCGTAGACAGCACATAGAGCGAAATGAGGCATGGCTAAAATGCATGATCTGTTTGGTATTTTGAAAACAGAAACGTATAAATATACCTTATATAGGTATGGCCCTACAATATATCATTTAAATATAGCATGATAGGACTTTTACTTGCTACCTCCGCTACCGGTCTCTTAAACAAGGCCCGGCCCCCCACTGACACTTTACCTCAGCCACAACGCAGACTCTATACGCATTACATTAATGCACACAATGTTCAAATATTGCTTACTGCACATATTTCATATTTCATAATTTATATTCTATAATTCACTGCATTCTATTTCGCTGTCAATTACTGCTTATTTTTATTTTATTGCTATCTAGCTATATTTTATTACAGTGTTCTTAAAGATGTTTTGTTTCATATGGAGATGTTTTGCTTTGTATTTCATGTATGCACCACGACATCAAGTCAAATTCCTCGTACGTGTGAACCTACCTGGCAATAAACCTGTTTCTGATTCAGATTCAGATTCTGAAGAGTGTATTTCTAAACTGTGGTAATTCTTCTACCACTGTCTTGCTTTACCAAAGAGAAAAAAAACATATTTGCTGCATCCTTAATTAAATATATAAAACATATGTATTCTCTCCCTCTCTGACTCGCTCTGATTGTGTGCGTATTTATTCTACAGGAAGAAATGAGGCAGCAGACCATGTCTGAGCCAGAAGCCCAGGAACATCAGGAGGAACCTGGCTACACTGAAGAGGATCCCGTACCCCCTGTCATACCAGCCAAGATGAGGAAGTCATGTGGGCTAGCAGACTTGCTTGGACAGACTTATGGTGAAGTTGTTGGAACCCAACCAAAATCAATATCTGCCATGGTTTAGGAGGAGGTCAAAATATATCATAAGGTCAAACCACTGGCACTCACAGAAGACCCATTAACCTGGTGGAAAACACATAAGCAAGTCTATCTGGCCAAGCTGGCGAAAAGATACCTTTGCATCCCAGGTACTAGCGTCTCAGCAGAAAGAGTCTTCTCGACGGCTGGAGACTTCGTCAAAGGAGCACTCTGACCTCAGAGCATGTTAATCAGCTCCTCTTTCTGAGCAAGAATGCTGACATTCCTTCACTGTCCAAATGCCTCTGAACTTTTTTAGTCCCAAGGCCAGCAGCAAACAGTAGCACATTTTATTTATTTTAATTTAAGAGTACATGTTTCATTTTATTTTATAACAATTTAACAGTCATTTACATTTAAATTCCCCGGTTGCTGAATGGGCTTCATACTTTTTTTGTACACGTTGCATTGTTCAAAAAGCCTGTAATGGTAGAGCAGTCTAGTCCACACACATTAGCAGTTAAGTTGCACTATGTTGACTGTAACACAGAAAGTTCAGTTTGTCAGGTGCATGATGCAACATTTATGACAGTGTTGGTCAGTCTGTTTGCTTGACTTTATTTTGTTGCAATAAAAATGACTGAAGTGAGATGAACAGAGTGAATACTTTATCCTATTAGAGAAAACTTAAAAGGTATGACAAACTGCATAATTTGCAGTTCAAAAAAAGGTTATATCGCAATATATCGCAATATATCGCAATCAGGGGCGCCGTAAGGGGGTGAAAAGTTAGGACGATTCTAAGGGCCCGTGACTGACAGGGGCCCAAACAATTAAAAAAAAGAAAAAAAATGATGGACTTTTATTAATCCCTCGTGGGATTTTTCTGCATTTGACCCATCCTAGTGTTAAGGCCGCTACACACCCACCTGAGACCAAAGAACGCGTGCCGAAGGCGTCCCGACTTTTACGTCACCTGCGTCGGCTACGCCGCACGCTACGCCGCCCGCTTACGAACACACCGCAAATACTTCAGTCGACGAGTGGCAATAACTGTCCTTACCAGCAGGCAGCGGTAGTGTGAACAGCCAATCAGAGTGATTGCTTGGGCCGACTTTCTCTGACCTCCCGCGGCCGATTCGCGGCCGAACATGTTGAATCGGCCGATTCAACATGTTGAAGCGGGAGGTGTGAAAAGGTCCTTCCTTGTGTGAAAAGGTGCCGTAAAGAGACGACGGTGCGGGACACACCAACCTGAGTAGGGCGCCGCGAATGCCCGACTGCCTCTGATGGCCTCTGACTCCCAAAATCCTGTTGGTGTGTAGCCAGCTTAAGGAGCAGTGTGCTGGCATTTTGAACGGCGCCCGGGGAGCAGTGTAGGGAACGGTGCTCAGGGACACCTCCGTAGCACTTGGTCTTGCCGAGACTTGAACTGGTGACCTTCCAGTTGCCAAGCCAACTCCCTATTGACTTCGCCACCACCGCCCAATAATAAATAAAATGTAGAACATTAAAGGTGGGGTAGGTAAGTTTGAGAAACCGGCTCGAGATCGCTAGAATTTGAAAATACACAACCGGAGTAAATCTGCCACTTCCTTACAGAGCCCCTCCTCCAACACACACGAACGCGCACATGACCAATGAGGGCACGAGATAAGTTTGTGCACAGATGGAAGGCTGACAGGCAGGTAGGCCATCCAGTTATTTTAGCCGGGCCGGCTCTGTAAGGAAGTTGCAGATTTTTTCCGGCTGTGTATTTTCAAATTCTAGCGATCTCGAGCCGGTTTCTCCAAAATTACCTACCCCACCTTTAATTTAACTTTTTTTCTTCCAAAAGTGAATTATCCAAAGCCTCTGTACACCCCCCTCTATTTACATATAATGGTTTGGTCCTGCCTCCAACCGCGGGGGGGCACCGGCACTTTCTAGTAGTGATGGGAATTATGGCTCTTTGAAGGGAGCCGGATCTTATGGCTCCGTTCCTTTCAAAGAGTCATTCAAAAGAGCCGTTCAAAAGAGCCGTTTTTTTAAAGGGGGCAGGGTTACTAGGTTTATCTGCGAAATAATCACCAGGATAATGATTGACTGTATTGCCAGACCTAATGTCAATAATCTGCATTGTAAACATGACACAAGGTGGCGCCATATCCATGTCATTCATGTCAGTGAATGTACTACTTTGAATTTACCCTCTGCATGTGTTAAGTAAATAAAGTTGCCTTGTCTTGAATGAAATTCACGCAACTCTTAATATTAGATACCGTGTTTTTAAGTGGCGATGGAGATTATTTGTTGATCCTGCTTTAAAGGATATTTTGCCTTTACAAATGGTGCGCTTTATCACTGCCTGTGTTTTGGTTGAAGTGCATCCAAATGCTGCTGCGTTTTCGCGTTTGGCTCATTTTCCATCCGAAAAACACGTCGTCTACCTGTCCTGTACCACTTGTTATGACTTCTCTCCCTCACGTATTCCGTTAAGACCCACCCCATCTCACTCCTCGTGCTGAAACCTACCAGTCAGAGTAGGGGCGGGTCTTCACAGAATACGTTTGGGGAACAAAATCAAGCTTTTTAAAAGGCGAGTGGATTTTGGCAGGCAGTGAGTGCGGACCAACGATTGAACGATAAAAATAACGGCTCTCACCAAGTACGACTCGGTTCCCCTCGTTCGTACCGAAGAGCCGTTCAAAAGAATCGGCTCGTTCGCGACCGACACATCACTACTTTCTAGCAGAGAGTGAGAGCATGTGAGGAGGGATGCTAGTACTTACGTGTGTACGATGTCTCAACGACTAACAAAGTCAGGCTTTCAAAAAAGAAAAGAAAGGAGAGAAAGACAAGAGAGAGGGACTAAAGGGCGACAGTATGTCACCCAGTGTTTCAAGAGAAAAGGTGGGTGTGGTCCATGAGTGGTGGAAATTAGTCTGTTAGCTAAGCGTAGTCCATTGTAAATAATAGTTTATTCAGCTGACATTAAGTACTGTTAATATCTTCACAGAAAATTCAGAAGTTTTTAATTTCACTCCTCTTTTAGCTGAACTTTAATAAATGCAGGTACATTTTTAGCAGCTATTCATACTAAATCAGTTGTCCCTCCCCCTGGTGCCAGGACCAACAGATCCATCTCTAGGCTCAGCAGCCCTGTCCCCCCATAAGGCTGAACCTGAACCAGCTTTTCTCCCAACTGAAGGAGGTGAGCAGCATTGTGTTGAATGCCATGCCTAATAACATATCTGAAGGGAGACTGGAATACAATATATATATATATATCAAAACAAAACGCTAACATCTCATTTCAATTACACATTTCAGACAGAGTATTTTTCCACATATTTAAGTTATATTTATTTGGATTTATGCATTCATGTTGAGAATGTTCCATTCAAAAATGTTATTATTAAAAATGCATTTACACCATAAAAGATGACTATTGAGATCTATTGTCAGGAATGTTAGTCTTATATCAAATAGTGAATTCTACTGCAGCAGAATGTTGCACGTCTGCACAGTGTTATATTTTCACAGCTCAGTGTCAGTAAATATTGTGCGGTTAGTATTGGACTACAAGATAGATGCAAGCCTGTACAGGTAGAGTTATTTAAAGCATGAATGAGTGGGTTGGGTTCAGGAGGTGTGGTTACAGTGATTGTGCTTGGTTGGCGTGGCCTGGGCCTGGTGGTGGGGCCCAATGTGATATCTTTTCATGGGGCCCAAAATCCCTGGCGGCGCCCCTGATCGCAATATATCATATCGTAGAGTCGCAATACTATCGTATCGTGGCTTAAAGGGGACCTATCATGCAAAATGCACTTTTGTACGTCTTTTCTACATGAATATGTGTCCCCGGTGTTCCAGGGAACTCACCAAGTGTCAGAAAACACAACCCTCTCTATTTTCCTCCATACCCAAATCTCTAAAAAAGGGGCTGCAACGGATCTGATAAAAACTGATCCAGATTTGAACACTGTCCTGACGTCAGGACGGTGGCGCTACGGCTATTGGGCCAACTCCACCAATCAGGAGGAGACAGCCACGGCCATTGCCGTTCGAAAGCGCTGGAGACGCTGTAGTACATATGCCAGGCCTGTAGGTGGTGCTGTTCTCACAGAATCAGCCCTTGCAAAAACAGAGCTAACATTTTTCAAATTGAGCGAAATGAGGCATGGCTAAAATGCATGATCTGTTTGGTATTTTGAAAAAAAAAAAGTATAAATATGCCTTATATAGGTATGGTCCTATACTATATTATTCAAATATAGCATGAAAGGTCCACTTTAAAGTGGACCTTTCCATGCCTCATTTCGCTCAATTTGCTGTATTCCAGCCCTGTTTTTGCAAGGGCTGATTCTGTGGCAAATGAGCTGCAGCTGACCTCGCACGAGCGTCATGTTACCATGCTGGTACCATGCCACGGCAACCTCTCATTCCCCTAATAGGTGGAGAGTTGGCCATATAGGCGGAGCTCCTTGTTTCTGACGTCAGAGATATTTCAAATCTGGATCAGTTTTTATCAGATCCGTTGCAGCCCCTTTTTTAGAGGGTTGTGTTTTCTGACACTTGGTGAGTTCCCTGGAACACCGGGGACACGTCATGTATAGAAGACGTACAAAAGTGCATTTTGCATGATAGGTCCCCTTTAAGTATCGCGATAGTATCGTATCGTGGGGAGCCTGGTGATTCCCACCCCTAATAATAACAACACAATAACATTATGTCAATCTAAACCATCATAATGATAAACTTGGTTTCAATACAACAACTCAGTCAGACTTCAGACACGCTGCTCTCCATGTTGACTGCGCTGGGCTGTCACATGTTATGAAACTCTGAAGAATCAGAAACCAGGAAATGGATAAACAAGTTCACAACATTTGAAGATGTCACCTTCGACTCCAGGAAATAAATACATTTGTATTTACAGATTATTTTCTAACATACAGTTCAACAGAGTAAGTGATTAATGTGTTAAAAAGCAGACTCTGGAGTGAACACTCACCCTGTTTTCCTCCTGCTGCTCTGTCAAAGTGTGAAATGGAGTCTGGCAGTCTGACTTCCTTCTTTAACTTTAACGTCCCTGTCTGTCTGTAGCTCCTCCCTTTGTTTCATAACCAGCCTCATCACATGGACAGGTACAAACAGGCATTATTTTCAGTTGCTCTCACAGTAAGACGGTTACAAAAACACGTATAAGAACGATAGAAATAGACAAGCAGCTAAAAACAAGCAAGACAAAGTTATTGAAGAAAAAATAATAATACCACAGATACCCCTTTCACACCAAGGCTTTTCCCCTTCTAGCTCCGTGCTAGAGCTTTTCTGGTTCAGAACCGGTTCTTCGGTTTAGCGCCGGCTCTTTTCACACTCAGAGCCCGACTGGTGCTGCCGCTGCTGCGTCATGACGTCACAGTTTACATCGCTGAGTTTCTCCCCAACGGAGCTCACCTCACAACAACAACGGGCCGGGGACTGCGTTGCTTTTAATCATATGAAGCCAGATTAAATTAAATAACGACTTCTCCAACCTTATACTTTTCTCCAGAGTGCCGTGGTTCATTGTTTATTAATGTGTTTTAGCGGCATTTACCGACCGCTGCAGTGCTGGCTGCTCTTCCACGGGAGTTTATTCTCCCGTTAGCTCCGGGTTAGCTCACACGGCTCTAAAGTATTCACTGTCTGACTGTCACACAAGCAGCTGATACATATCCCCAGTTCCCCTTAAGTGAATGTGTGTCAGTCTGAATTGACGCTGTTTGGTGTCAGTCTGAATTGACGCTGTTTGGCATCACAACGCTGTTATGAAAGTTTCTCTGGTATAACATGGGTGATGTTAGCATAGCAACCGAAGCTAAACTGACTACTTGCTAAGCCGTTTTATACAGGCACTTTTTACCGGCGTATTTTTCATTATGATTCTACTTGTGATAGTCGGACATGACAACCTGTGCAGCCCATGTATTGATTCCATCCGATAGCTGCTATAATAACAAACAAAACGTCTGCCTGCTCTCCACAATGATCAATAACAGCGAACGGATGGTCAAAGTAAGGTACAAATAAACAGAATCACACGAAGCCTGGTTAGTGTTGCCTGACTTTATAAAGCGTGTTTTTTTTTAACAAGTGTGTGGTTGCGTTCTAGTCACTTTGCTCAGCACTACTGCTTGTTACAACTTTTATTTGCCGTACTCGCCTTAACTGTTATCTCAGGTTAATCTCGCCCCCCTCCGACGTAAGCGGTTCTTGCTTCTACACGGACAACTTTTTGGTGCTCGAAACGAACCGGATTCCGGAGCTTAGAGGCTGCTCCGCTGCGGTGTGAACAGGAAAACCCGGTGCTTTTCAAGCACCAGCACCGAACCGGCCCCGAAACACCGTTGGTGTGAATGGGGTAAGAGTGAAAAAAATCAATAAACATCCTGCATTCAAAACCTTACTTGTGAGGTTGTTTTGGGTACTCTAGTGTAGTATTACTGCTGCATGAATGCACAAGTTTCATTTTGTAGATTATTTGAACTCCTTTATATAGTATTGGTGTGTTAAATCTGCAGCAATGCGGATTCTAGGGCCCGTTCTCATTTCATCAAATTCCCCTCCTGGACTCCCCTCCTTGACTCCCCTCCTCGACTCCTATCCTCGAGACTTAGTCCCGCCCACAGGAGATGCGAGCGGAGGAGCCGAGTAGGGGAACCGAGGAGAGAGGAGGGGAAGCAGCAGGCGGTTAGAGAAATGAGAACTCCTCTCCTCTGAGCGGTCATTTTAAAGAGACGTCCATTAATGATGACAGGAGGCACAGCAGCCCTCTGTCTGATGGACAGATGTGTTCATGACCACTTATATATTTACTTTTAATTCATTCACAGTGCGGTATAATGAGACAATAACAGGCTACAGATGCGGACATACACACAGACACACAGACACACACACATATATATCTATTTATATAAATATATACAATTTCAGAATCAAACAGAGCACTCTCATAATAACGTAACACTATCAGAGACTGGATATATCCCCCCCCCCTCTCCCCTCTCTGGTCGCTACAAGGAGGGAAATAAATGACGGGCCAAAAGTTTTATTTACAAGTATTAAAAGTAAGCAGAGGACACCAAACCAACTGAGACCTGTCTGTCCGCTGCATCTACACTGTACCACACACACCTACACCACACACACGCACCTACAGCTCCTAAAGCATATCATCAGGCTACAGCCGTTGTGTATTTTATTATGTGAAGCACTAAATGGTTTTAGAAACATATCGACTTTGTTTGTAGATATCTACTAAACTAAAGCAAATAAAGAGAGTAGGCCTGTTACACTGAGTGATATATATTATACACACTGCTCTGCTTTCTGCACGGACCTCACAGCTGTTCTCACTGTAAACATCGCGTCGCGATGAAAGCAGTTAATAAAATAATATCCAGGGGATGCATGCAGAGCTGTCATTGGCTGAGATCAGTCCGGCCGTGCGTCTCGACTCTTTGAAACATCACTGTTGCCGGAAATGCATCCACGAAGGAGCCGTGGAGGACCGTGGAGGACCCATCAGTGTATCCTCGGTTATAGCTCCTCCAGAGAGCCTCCTCGACGCTCGATGCTCGGTCCTCGATGTGCATTTCGAGAAATGAGATGTCCTTCAACATGGCGCGCTAAAATTCATTTCCGGGTCACTACCGGAGGACCGAGGAGTCGAGGAGTCGAGGAGTCGAGGAGTCGAGGAGTCGAGGAGTCGAGGAGTCGGATTTGATGAAATGAGAACGGCCCTATGAGATCAATATGTGTGTGTAGCTTTGTCCTGTGAGAACCAGTTATCTCTAAAAAGTCAACTTTTCATGAGTTTTTCAGAAAAACAGCCAGTTTTCAGCTTACATGAGGCTGACAGACTTTAGCTTAAAGAGGAGAACTGCCTCAACACATAAATAAAGACTTGATCCTAGTTCATCTTAAACATTTAAAATCATCTGGAGATACGTGGTTATCGCTGGACAGGAGGGGGAAGAAAATCTGTAATCTTAAAGTAACCAAAGCTGTCAGACAAATGTAGTGGGGTAACAAGTCAAATAAATACCTCTGAGATGTAGTGAAGAAGTGTACAGCTGATACAGTACCTTTAATTTGTACTAAAGTACAGAACTTGAGTATCAGTACTTAGTTACTCTTTTCAGTAACCATGCCAGAGGGGAGAGGTTGGAGCAGGTTATGTCCCAGGTCAGGTCTGAAGGTCTGCAATCATAAAGTGGTGTTAATATGTGGAGATTATCCTGCTAACAAAACGTGTAAATATCAGAAACTATACTAAACTTATTTGCAGCAGAAATCATTTTCTGCAATAATCTAAAATCACATGGAGAAATCCAATTTGCTTTTTATTCACCCTCTGTAGCCCGACCACTCTCACACTCTAATGTTAGTGACAGGATGAACATTTCCTGAAACCTCATGAGGACATAAAACAACTGCATTGTCTCTTGGTGTAGATGTCTCCTCTATGAGGAACTACAAAGTACTGAAGCATATCAAATGTAACTCCAAACTAAAGCACATGCCAAGATGTTACAGTAACTCTCACTGCCAGGAAGCCAGAGAAATGTCCAAAGAGTTCAAATATAAACGAACAAGTTAAACTAGACCGAAATAAATGTACATTAAATTAGCTAGTGAAAATTAGCTATTAATTTAACAAGCTAGCTAGCTATCTAACACGCCCATGGATGTATAAAGGATGAATAAGAGAACTGGATACTCCGTTCATTCCTGTGAGTTATTTGAAGCCCAAAGTGGAGCGAGTGTGGACTCTGAAAGTACCCGGATGTGGGCCCATAGAGCATGCGCAGTTGAGTTTCTCTTAAGCCCCGCCTCTGATCTCCCGCTCTGTGTCAGTGCAGATTGGTCCATTTCAGAATAATATATATGATATGTTTTATAATGATTGATCATTAAAGTGTTCTCAAAGCTGGTAAAGGTGCAGCTAGTTTGAATGACTTTGTATACTGCAGGGTAGCTTGTGAATTTACTCCAGGTGGAACTAAAGTCTGATTTAACACTTGATTATATTTCACATCATTCATCCACATCTGTAAAGTAACTAAATGTATTAAATACATGTAGTGCAGTGAGTTACATTTCCACATATTGGCCACATTTGTTCGACATCTTGAATCCCTACTTTGAATTACTACTTGATCAATTAGTTAATGTGTAGAATTGGTTAATTTAATGTTTTAATAGTTTGCAGGGTTTTTTCGGAAAACTTAGATAGGTATACTTTATGTTAGAGTTTGGTAACATTCTCAATGCAGGACTTGGAGTATTTATTTAGCGTTTAGTATTAGTACTTTTACTTAAGTAAAGGACGAGTAAACGTGCTTAATTTAAAAAATATAAGGCAAGGTTTTTTCTCCATACAGAATCGTGTTTCAAGTCAGCGTTTTATTTTGAAACCCGGATGCAGCGTGTTGTTGTTGCTGAGTGTGACAGCAGCTCAGTTCAGATCAGCTGATGGGAACTGACTCACCTCTTCCCGGACAACATGTCGACACATCCAGCGAGAAAGAAGAAGAAAGAGGACTTCATTCTTTAATGAACTCGCGGAGGAACAGAGCGAGTTGCTGGACCCGGATTCAGGTACAGCTCAGATGTATACACATTACATTACACGAGGGGAAACAACACGCGCTGTTTCTTCACTCTGGGTTATCACTTTATATCAGTTTGAGTCGATTAACACTCGTTTGACTAATCGTTACATTGAATGAATTAAAAACCACTAGATCTTTAAATCTGAGTTTAAAAAGCACTACTTGATATCTAGTGTATTCCAGAGATGTGCTCTGACGTGTTTGTATGGAAACAAGTCATATATCATGAACAAAGTAATACAAATGAAAGAATAATTGGAATCTTATCATGGGAATCAAAACTTTCCAACTGATTTTCAACAGGAAATAAGCTTGTATGTTTCTTACAATGAAGTTATTCAGCATGAAACATGACTAATGACCTAATTCCTTGATTAAAAAACAGATAAATAATACTGATGTTTTCTGGAGAGAAAAATGCAAAAGCCCCACTTTAAATATTATTTAAACCAAATGTGTCCTCATTCGTTTCTTGAAAATAAGTTGTTCAGCATGATGAAAGCAAATAAAGCCACTGTAGTGCCGAGAGAAGGGAGACGGAGGCGGTGCATCGGAGGTGCAAATCTGGCTTTATTGAGGAGCAGAAATACACATGCTGTCGGGTCGAGCCGAGAAGACCAAGAGAAAGTGCAAGAGACACACACACAGTATATACCCCGGAGGTACCGTCAAGATATGTGTCCGTGCGAAACAATACCCCCAACCTGTAGTTCCTGGATTGAATTATGTAACCCTAGTGTATGAATCAGTGATCACTACACAAGCCCCCCCAGAATTCAACCATGGACACAATCCTCGCGTCGGGAGGAAGCACCACAGGGGCCGAGGAGGGCGGGGCCGCCGGCAAGGGCCGGGCCATGGAACGGGCCGCAGGAGAGGGTAGGGGCCCCAACGAGGGCGAGGGCATCCCCACCGGAGGGTGGGGGGCGGGCCGCAGAAAGCAGGGTAGGAGCCCCAACGAGGGCGAGGGCATCCCCACCGGGGGGTGGGGGGCGGGCCGGAACGGGCCGTCGTCAGGGTCGGCAGGGAGGAGCGCCGCCCGGCCGCAGGCGAAGGCACAGCGGCGGCGGGCACGAAGTCCTCGGGAGGAGGGAGCCGTGGACAGGGGAGAGGCCAGACGGGGCGCCGTCGAGGCGAACCGTGAGCCGCGGTTAGAGGTGAGGCCAGGCAGGGTCCCGAAGCGCGCCACCCGCGGGCCGATGAAGGCACGGGCGACGTTCGAAACCGCCGAGGCGAGGGAAGAGGCGAGACGGGGTTCAGAAGCGCGTCACCCACGGGCCGATGAAGGCACGGGCGACGTTCGAAACCGCCGAGGCGAGGGAAGAGGCGAGACGGGGTCCAGAAGCGCGTCACCCACGGGCCGAAGCAGGCGTGTGTGACGTCCGAAACCGCCGTCGAGGTGGTGATAAAGCGAGAGGGTCCACACGAGGCCGACCAGACATGGTCGAACCTCCTCTCAGGCACCAGAAAAAGCTCAAAAATGGTCGTCCCGTCCACGAACAAAAACAGGTGGGCGAAATAGCGAGAGGATCCACGCGAGGCCGACCAGACTTGATCGAACCTCCTCTCCGGCACCACAAAAAACAAAAACAAAAAAAACAGTCGGATGTCGACAGCCGCTAGCTGCTGTGGCTAGCTGTCGTTAGCTGTTGCCAGCTGCTAGCCGTTAGCAGTCGTGGCTAGCTGTTCTCGGCGGCCGCTAGTAGCTGGCCGGACATGCAGCCGCATGTCCCGAATAAACCCGGCACGGTCGCGTACCGGCCCATGGAAGGCTTGCCGTCCCCCAGAGCCGAAATGGCGAGCGTCGTCCGCGTCCATTCCGTGGGGCGCACCGAGCCACAGTCCGAGCGCACGAGGCAGCTACGGAGGTCTCCAAAAATCCCCGGCATTTCGAGAAAAGCTGCGCTTTTTGCCGTGTTCGATTCAGTCTCGGATCATTCGCGAGACTTATGTCAGGGTCACCAATGTAGTGCCGAGAGAAGGGAGTCGGAGGCGGTGCATCGGAGGTGCAAATCTGGCTTTATTGAGGAGCAGAAATACACATGCTGTCGGGTCGAGCCGAGAAGACCAAGAGAAAGTGCAAGAGACACACACACAGTAGGTACCCCGGAGGTACCGTCAAGATATGTGTCCATGCGAAACAATACCCCCAACCTGTAGTTCCTGGATTGAATTATGTAACCCCAGTGTATGAATCAGTGATCACTACACCACTAACAATCTTCCTCAATTAACGCTACATTTAGTCGACTTATTGATTCCATAAATCCCCCCCCCCCCCCCCCCCCCCTTGCCTGAAAGCCTTCATTGGACTCCTTTGTTTACTTCAGGAACATAGTGACATCACTTCTGTAACACTGGCTAGCGCACCAACACATTGTACGCTAAGGGGCGGGACATTAACTGTGCAATATATACCTGGCTGCTAAATCTTCAGAACTGCTACAGGATGTGTATTTTGTAAATTGTGTAGTTATCTTTAATATTTTGTATGCATGCTGCTTAGTTAACTTTAAGCTGTCTGTGGCTCTTTTCTGCTGTAACAATGTACATGTCCCCTCTGTGGGACGAATACAGGTATTCTGAATCTGATATATTCTCTTAGACAGAATCTAAACATTCCCACCATGAAACCATAAAACCCTCCAGTCAATATCCATTTGCAAATCCACCTTACAGCACATGTCCCTTCTGTTGGACGAATATACAAGTATTCTGATTCTGATCTGTAAATAGTAGACCAATCCCAACAGAAGGATTTCTGAATTCTGACCTTTTTTCTCAGACTTTTTACATTTTCCCAAAAGTTCGCTTTTTCTCTGAATTGTAACTTTTTTCAGAATTTTTACTTTTCCTTCCAAATTTTTTAAGAATGTTTTTTTTAAAAGAAATTTTTGGTCAAATATTTGACTTTTCCCAAAAAGAGTCTTTGTTCCTGAAACTTCACCCAGAATTATGACTTTTGTCCCAGGATGTTTATGGAAGAGGATTTAGGCCATGTGACCAACAATTTGAGATCTGAACGAGAGATGTTTTGGTTTTATTATAATTTTTCCTTTTAATTTTGACTTATTTTCCGAATGTGTCGTTTTCTTAGAATTAACTTTTTTACCTGAATTTTGTGTTTTTACTGCAAATTTTGACTTTTCAAAAAACATGATGCAATTAAAAACATTTTAAAAAGTAACTGATATTACAAAAAAATAAACATTAATTAAATTAAATTAGATATTTTTAAGGGCCTGGATGTATGTATATATCGAAACACTTAGCCTATTATAACTTTATAAATTATGCTATATCTATATATATATAGATATATAGATATTATGGCAGAGAAAAAATATAGATATTAGATTGAATACAAGAAGAAAGACAGGAAGAGGGGATCTCATTATTATCTTTTTTGTCAAGACAGACTCCTCTGTGACTCCATGCCCCCCCCCCCCCCCCTCCTCCTCCTCCTCCTCCTCCTCCTCCTCCTCCTCCTCCTCCTCCTCCTCCTCCTCCTCCTCCTCCTCCTCCTCCTCCTCCTCCTCCTCCTCCTCCTCCTCCTTCTCGCCGTGGTGAAGAGTAACCACATTAAAGATGTCCGCTGTGGTGGGGGGGGGTCTCCTCCTCCGCCCTCAGGGCTCCTGGGGGGGCTCTGGTTCTCCTGCTCTCCGTCACGCTGCTGTCTGGATTCAGCCCGCTGTGCATCGCTCGGGGAGGGGGCTGCTGCAGCATGGACCCACGTAATCATTAATATAATCATACTAACTAATTATAATACTACAAATAATATTAATATTGGAATTTAAAATAATACAAATAATAATAATAATGATGATAATAATAATACTAATGTTAATAAAATAACAATATATGGACCCAGGTCATAATAATAATAATAATAATAATACAACTATTACTCTATGTACTTTAACTAAGTTTTTACTGATAATACTTTTACCTAAATTTGGTTTTGAATATATATATATATATACTTGTATACTTGTAATGGAGTATTTTCACATTGAGGTATCAGTACTGAAGCAGCAGGCGTCAGGTTGATCCCTGAGCGTTGTCTTGCAGGTTTCCGGCGCAGGCTGCTCAGCCTGATCAGCTGTTTTGCAGGAGGAGTGTTTTTGGCCACCTGTCTGCTGGAGCAGCTGCCGGACTACCTGCAGAGCATCGAGGAGGCCTTCAGCAGCGCGGGGGTCACCGTAAGATGATATAACACACACACACACACACACATACACATACACATACACATACACATACACATACACATACACATACACACACACACACACAGGAACGTCACACGACTTCACGTCCCCACAGCTGAGCTAAAGGTGGCTAACGTTAGGCTATAAATGAACTACAGTGCGGTCACATGACTTCACGTCACCATCGCTAAGCTAATGTTCTCAGATCACCACGCTAAGCTAAAGGCGGCTAATGTTTGTTCTCCTTTCGATACCAAATCCTATAGTCATCGTTCACCCTCGTCAGCGGCGTCTTCTTCTCTCCCCGCAGCTTCAGTTCCCTCTGCCTGAGTTCATCATGGCGATGGGTTTCTTCCTGGTTCTGGTTCTGGAGCAGGTCATCCTGGCCTTTAAGGACCAGCCTCAGATGAATGAGTGTCACGCTCTGCTGCCGAACTCCAGCGTCAACTCCCACCGCCACGGCGCGTCAGAGGAGTCCGGCGGCAGCCTCTTCCACGTGGACCTGAGCGCGCAGTCGGCCCTGCGCTCCTTCGTCCTGGTCTTCTCGCTGTCGCTGCACTCCGTGTTGGAGGGGCTGGCCGTGGGCCTGCAGGAGATCTACGTGGCAAGGCAAGGCAAGTTTATCTATACAGCATCTTTCAACACAAGGCAATTCAAAGTACTGTACACAAATGAAAAACATGCATTAAGAAACAGTGTCACGGAAACACGTTATGAAATGGTCATTAAAAAGCAAAGAGAATAAAACAAACATAAAACAAGCTAATCGTGTACTTTTACTCCACTACATGTATTTAATACATTTAGTTACTTTTCTACTTTTACATTAACAGTAACATTTTGACTGTAGGACTTTTACTTGAGTAACATTTTGACTGTAGGACTTTTACTTGTAACAGAGTATTCCTACACTCTGATACTTACTTTACCATAGAGTAGGAATACATTGTGACAAGTAAAGGTAAAAGTACTGAAGTACAACATCTGAGTACGCTTCCCCTCTGAACTGAATGCTTCTTCCCCATGTTCAGTTCTGACTCTGGGGCTGATGGTCCACAAGAGCATCATCTCCTTCAGCCTGGCCTGCACGCTGTCACGGGGCCGGCTGCAGCTCCCCCTGGTGGCCGGCTGCCTGCTGCTGTTTGCCGCCATGTTGCCGCTGGGCCTCGGCCTGGGCTCGGCGCTCTCTGAGACGAAGGCGCCCCGGCAGCACCGGCTGGCCCGCTTCACGCTGCAGGGTCTGGCGGCGGGAAGTTTCCTCTACATCACCTTCATGGAGATCCTGCCGCACGAGCTGGGCTCCGGAGGGAACCGCATCCCCAGGGTGGCCTCGCTGCTGGCCGGCTTCGCCTTGGTCACCGCCGTGCTCTTCATCAAACTGTAATCATCCCAGGGAGTTCAGCAGGATAATCTCCATATATTAACACCACTTTATTTCTGAAGTAAGAAGCTAACACGTCACCACCGCTAAGCTAAAGGCGGCTAATGTTGGGCTATAAAGGAACTACAGCACGGTCACATGACTTCACGTCACCACCGCTAAGCTAAAGGAGGCTAATGTTGGGCTATAAAGGAACTACAGCACGGTCACATGACTTCACATCACCACCGCTAAGCTAAAGGCGGCTAATGTTGGGCTATAAAGGAACTACAGCACGGTCACATGACTTCACGTCACCACCGCTAAGCTAAAGGTGGCTAATGTTGGGCTATAAAGGAACTACAGCACGGTCACATGACTTCACGTCACCACCGCTAAGCTAAAGGAGGCTAATGTTGGGCTATAAAGGAACTACAGCACGGTCACATGACTTCACGTCACCACCGCTAAGCTAAAGGTGGCTAATGTTGGGCTATAAAGAAACTACAGCACGGTCACATGACTTCACGTCACCACCGCTAAGCTAAAGGTGGCTAATGTTGGGCTATAAAGGAACTACAGCACGGTCACATGACTTCACGTCACCACCGCTAAGCTAAAGGAGGCTAATGTTGGGCTATAAAGGAACTACAGCACGGTCACATGACTTCACGTCACCACCGCTAAGCTAAAGGTGGCTAATGTTGGGCTATAAAGGAACTACAGCACGGTCACATGACTTCACGTCACCACCGCTAAGCTAAAGGAGGCTAATGTTGGCCGTGAAGCTTTTAGTAACTCATGTTAGCAGAGCTGAATTGTTTAGGATTTCAAAACAATAGTAAGCGCTCTGATAGTGCTACGTTCTTATGATTGCTGTGATTAATAAATGTATTTCATTGTGGATCCGTGGCCTACAGGCTGATGTACTGCAGCCTGCAGATGAGACGTTTGGGGAACATCAGTCAATTGGAGCGTCTTCTGCTAGTCTGTATAGGTCTGAATATTCCGGGGCCAATAATTAAGGGAAATCTTAGTCCCTGGTTTTGCATATCTTTTTGGACAGCGTGCTTCATTTGATTAATTCTCCATATGTTTTTGGTCATTTTAACTCCTTTTTGCGTCTTCTTGTTATGTTGTTGGGGGTTGTTTTGTCTCTGTATTTAGGGTGTGTAGAAGAAGAAGAAGAAGATACACTTTATTAATCCCTTACAGGGAAATTTCTTTCCCCACTCTGTTGTGTTTACACACATTACACACACAGGGGAGGATATACATGCACAAACACAGAGGATATACATGCACACACACACAACCACATGCAGATAGGAGAGGTGGCAGAGCAGAGAGGCTGCCAGGTACCCGGCGCCAAGGGAGCAGTTTCGAGGTTAGGTGCCTTGCTCAAGGGCACCTCGGCAGTGGCCTTGGAGGTGAACTGGCACCTCTCCAGCTACCAGCTCACTCCATCTTTTTTTGGTCCGATCGGGACGTGAACCGGCGACCCTTCGGTTCCAAGACCAAGTCCCTACAGACTAATGCCGCATTTCCACTACACAGCCTCGCTCGGCCCCGCTCGGCCCCGCTCGGCCTCCTTTGGCCGCGCCCGGCCTCGTTAGGACCAGCTCACTTTGTGGCGCGTTTCCATTACAGTTTAGGAACCGGGTCAGTATCTATAGTAACACAGTGTAGGCGGAGCGACGCTGCTTAAAACTGCCGTGACGTCATCTTCAATGCGACACAACAATGGAGATGTGAAAGCGATCGTTTGCTTGTTTTTTGCTGTGTGGTTTATTATCACAAGAAATAGACGAGTTGTTTCGAAAGAGGCGACGTATAGCAAGACGAGGTATAGAAGAAGCTGACGCGAGAGTTCGGGCAGTCCTCCTACGCCGCAGAGACTACAGGACGACTCGAATCACTACTAACTACAATGCTACTTGGTAAGCTAACGTTCGCTAACTAGCAATGTGTTTAGGCTCACGCTCCCTATACGACCAAAGTATTTCAAGTATTTAATTAATTGTAGCTACCACTTTTACGTATTAAAATATGTATGCTTTTGTTTGTGTATTTCAGAAGTTACCGACCGAGCTACCGAGTGGTGGAATGTGATTGTTCCATCTTTCACACACTCAGTGGGTGGAGAACTTCAGGATGCCTGAGGAAAACCTACGTGTAATACCTAAATATTCATTGTATTGTATTGAACATAAATACATCTTTTCTTTTTCACATACATGTGTTTGTCAAATTATTTAAACCAAAAAAATGTTATCAGAATTGACTATTTAGTAAATATTTGAATTTCAAGCACCAGTACTGCCCCCATAATAATAATCTAATAAATTAAGCAAATATCAAAGCAAACTATAAACATAAATACAAAAGTGTAAAACACAACAGAACTATATTCATAAATGCAAGTGTAAAAAATTGTTAACATGGATGGAGGCTAAAGTATCCACAGCATAAAATAATATGATTATGATGGTTTGTCTGAAAGACACAGCCTCAAGGTTCAAGGTTTTTTATTTTGTCATACGAACATAGCTAGTGTAGTTATGACAATGAACATCTTAGGTCACAGGCTCCTCCAACAGTGCAACACAATAACCCAGATCAACAGAAATATAGTGCAAGTAAATATTAAGCGCTGTGCACCGCTCTCTTTGTATAGGTGTTTTCTTTTGTTCTCTTCTCTTTGAAATATATAAGCAATGTGTTTGAGTCTAGCACAACGAGGGTATTACAATTGAGTAATTTTTCTACATGTATTTATCATGTATTCTTAATACCATTACAAAATATGTAATGTTATGTTTTAGAGGAGGACCTCAAGCTAGCAAACTCAATTTCAAACAGTATGCAGAGTTGTCCTGCTAAAGAGTTAAAATGTATTATTTAACCAAGTATTTATTCTCTTATTTGCTTTAATTGCAACAGATGATAAAGGTTTCACTGTGATAAGTATTCTCTTAAATCCATAAACCCCTGTACAGTGCTTTGTGGACGATGGTGTTTATGATATTTCTGACTGCAGAGGGACGCCTAGATGATGCCATCTTTCTGTGCGATCGCTGGTGGGTGCAATTATTTATCAACAAGCAATAAGATAAGACATGGCATTGATTCTGCTGGGCCAGTTGCCGTTCCTGCAGGGCCAGATCCTCCTCCTCGGTTTGTGCTGTTGATGCAGAGGACGTTGTTCGGAACTGTTCCTCCTCGCTAGTCCCAATGTAATCATCTAGAACAGAAACATGACTTGTAAATTCCACAAGCTACTGCAGCACAATACTATAAATAGCAACAACAACTATAGAAAAGACAAACTGAACGTAAACAATGGCACATATGGTGTTAGCAAACAATAGCTCTCGCTAATGCTATCTGCCTTAGCTAGCTAGCTAGCCTTCGGGGCTCCATAAAAGCATGGGTTGTCGAACATAAATGTAAGGATAAATAGACTTATTTGTTAGAAGTGAGCTTTAGAACAGATAGGGACACAAAGCAGGGACACAAAGCTTTCAAGCAAATAACAGCGTTAGCAAAAACGTACCATGCAGACTCCAGTAACGCCGTTGGAGAGTCCAGTGTCTGTGTAGAGACCTCCTGAAAGACTTTGATATTGCGAGTTGTCCCGTCGAGCACCCGCTGGACCTTATCATCTGCAATATAATGGACGTCGTCACTTCCTCGACCGACCATGGTGTGCTTTTCTTTGCCATTGTTGTAGCTCCTCTGTTAACAAAAATGCTGTTTGTAAAAATGGATTATCTCGCGCGCAGATTGTGACGATTCTCTCCGACCAATCAGCAGCCGAGAGCGTTGACGTCACAAATTCAGCCCGGTTGTCTCGGCCCTGGCCCCACGATTTTATGAGGCCAGAAAAACTGAGAATTAGGACCAGCCGGCCGGTACTAGGCCAAGTGGAAACGCAACCACAAACGGGCCGCTGACGTCACAGCCCTCTTAAACCGGGCTGCGCGCTGTAGTGGAAACGCGCCATAAGCCACTGCCGCCCAGACTAAGCCACTGCGTGTTTTCTCATGATTTTTTTGTTGTCATTTTCAGGTTTTTGTTATCATCGTGTGTTTCTTGGTGGCAGTTAACGTCTACTTGTAGTCGTTTAGCACTTCCTTGGGTTTGTTTGTCGGTTTCTGTAGTTGTTTTGTGTCTGTTTTTAACACTGTTTTGGTCTACTTTGTGTTAGTTTCTGTGTTTTTTTTAATTGCGGTGGTCTCTGTGATTGTTTTGTATCTTCCTTTGAGTCATCATAACTTGATTTTTTCTTTTTGTGGTGGTTTCCCGCATCTATGTAGTCGTTGTGTGTCTGTTTATAAACCTTTTTTAATTTGTCTGTGGTTTAACACCTCCTTGTGGTCATTTTGAGTTTATTTTGCAGGTCATATTTCTGAAGTTAGTAAGCCACTTGAATCACTAATTGTGTTAACAGATGAAGCAGGAGCTCTCTACACTGAAAATGGAAGTAGAAAATATTACATTACATGTCACTTGTTAGACGCTTTTATCCAAAGCAACTCAAGGTTCAAGGTTCAAGGTTCTTTATTGTCAATCTGACATAGCTACAGAGTAATTATGCAGTTGAAAATCTTATGTCACAGGCTTCTCCAACAATGCAACATAATAACATAACATAATAACAATAAGAGCAAGAGCAATACAAAAATAATAATAGTTATAAAAATGAAATAAAGTTATGATGTGGAATAGTGCAGTATGAGTCTATATACAAGTTATTGGAATGATATATATATATTAGGTATTAGATACATACTACTGAGTAGCAGTTGAATGTTTGATGTTGTTTCAACAGTTCAATTGTTTAACAGTCTCACTGCCCGCGGGAAGAAACTGTCTCCGAATCTTCTTGTCCTTGCCAGGATGCTGCGGTAACGTCTGCCAGACGGCAACAGAAAGAACAGTTTGTGGCTGGGGTGATGGGGGTCTTTGATAATCCGTAGTGATTTCTTCCTGAGCCGCTGGGAGTAAAGGTCCTCCATGGATGGCAGCTCCGTCCTGGTGATGTGCTGTGCAGTTTTCACCACCCTCTGTAAAGCCTTACGATCGAGGTCGGTGCAGCTGCCGT